ATTTATTATTAATATTTTATTGTTTGTTTTTAAAGCTTTGAATAGATTGGCCCCACATTACATCTCAGACCTCCTCCAAATTTACATCCCTGCATCCCCTCTGAAGTCCGAGGTCCAGCTCCAGCTCTTGGTGCCTAAACGCGCAGTGATGCGAACGGAGAGAAAATAGTGCCAAGCGATTATGAGGTCTGACTTTTTTGAGGACGAAGGTTTTGTTTTGCAAATGTACCACTCTTTTGAACACATACTGTTTTGAGAAGAAAAACCCGTTATTTTAATGTCCCCAGCCAACTTGCCGGACTACTTTCGTCAGCCCCAAAAACGGTCAGTCCAATCTCGGCTCACCGGACGCTTTCGGGGGTAAGTCAGTGTGGATGCACGACACTGCTCATGGGGATGCCATACAGATTCATGTCAAAAAACCCAAACTGTCCCTTTAAAACCAGGGGGGACAGGTCCTTCTCTGTGGTCGGCCCCAAACTCTGGAACGCTCTGCTCCTCCACGTCCCAACAGCCCCACAGTAAATTATTTTAAATCTCGTCTTAAAGGGATAGTTCAGGTTTTTTGACATCAATCTGTATGTCATCCCCGTCATCAGTGTGGTGCATCCACACTGACTTTACTTCCCAAAGCGTCCGGTGGGCCTAGATCCTGGCCGGTTTTGGTGCTGAGGAAAGTAGTTCGGCAAGTTGGCTGGGGACTGTCTAATAAAGAATTTTTCTTCTCAAAACAATATGTGTTCAAAAGAGTGATACATTTGCACCACAAAACCTCCATCCTCTAAAAAGTCAGACCTCATTATCGCTTGGCGCAATTTTCTCTCCGTACGTATCACTGCGCACAGCTGCCAGGTGACAGCCGCACTTGTTTCACTTTGTTAACTGCTCGGAATGTCAGCGACAACATGCCTGACTACAACACCGATGATGAAGAAACTGATTTTAGCACAGAGCCAGTGGGAGATCTTTTTGAACCCGAATATACCAATGCCAAAATTCACCAGAGAGAGTTAGACGAAATTAGGCAGAGAGAGAGAAGAGGAGAATATTCCGAGCAGTTAACAAAGTGAAACAAGCGGTGCAGTGATACGTACGGAGAGAAAATAGCGCCAAGCGATTATGAGGTCTGACTTTTTAGAGGACAGAGGTTTTGTGGTGCAAATGTATCACTCTTTTTAACACATATTGTTTTGAGAAGAAAAACGCTTTATTAGACTGTCCCCAGCCAACTTGTCGAACTACTTTCCGCAGCACCAAAACCGGCCAGGATCAAGGCCCACCGGACGCTTTCGGAGGTAAAGTCATTGTTGATGCACGACACTGCTGACGGGGATACCACACAGATTGATGTCAAAAAACCTGAACTATCCCTTTAAAACCCACTTTTACTCTCTGACTTTTAACACCAAGTGAATTGTGTAGTCTTCTGTGTCTGTTATTTCTTTTATTTTATTTTACTGGTTATTAATTTCAGACTAGTATGATTAAATCTGAGCATTTATTTTATTAGTGTTGTTATTAATATGTGTTTGTGCAGCACTTTGGAAACGGTTTGTGAAATGTGCTATAGAAATAAAGTGAACTGGATTGGATAATTTTAGTCGTGGAATTTCCAATCTCAACTGAACAAAAGGTAAAATGTGGCTGTTAAATCAAAAATAGAGCATTTTGAGCTTTGGAAATGTAGACAGACTCATAATAAAGGGTTACTTAAATGTGTGAATGAAATAAAACGCAACTCCAGGTCTGTTTTTGAGGAGGTAACGACATTATAACATGGTTTAAATCTCACAAGAGTCCATTTTGCGTAATATAAGACCTTTAACCCACATCAATCTATCTGCATTTGACCCATAGTGAACTTTTTCGACACGCTGTTATAAAGAGGCTGTTTAACGAGATGGACTTCTGATGACTTGGAGCAGAGACGGAAGAGAGATGGAGGAGAGATGGCGAGCTTAATGTGTTTAATGCATTTCTATGGCACCTAGAGGCACTTAAAGTTCTTACAGCGGAGGTTCTCGATATGTGGTCCCGGGTTCGCTAATGGAACACAATAACATTCACTGGTACATTTACATAGAGCAGTGTCGATCTGATAACTGGAGGGATCAGAAAACCCAAGAATTAGATTAGATTTTTTGTGTGTTTTGAGAAATGTGATCATGAAAAACATCAAGTTAGTCAGTACATTTTTAAAGGAGCTGTTGTATTTTAAAGACAAAGTACACTGAAGCTTAAAATATAATAATAATAATAGTTAAATGTCCTATATCACACAAAATTAACTCTTATTAACTCATTAATCAGTCTTATAATGTTGATTAGGGTGCATCAAAAAACACAGTTCTTGAATTCTGATATGGCTGGGTGCTAAAAGTGTTCCAGTCTATGAAGAAACAACATATTTTTCCAATACATGAAGATTTAGTGGTGGCACCGCACATCTGTTTTTGTTGGATAAAGTAGTAAACAGTGCTCAATGGTTGCCATGGAGATCTGAGGTAAACAGGAATCAAGAAAGCAGCTCAAGTAAACTGAGGTGATCTTTCTGTTTTTAGTCAATTTGTGCATTTCTGTACTCAACATTTCCAGGCCAGCCTTTTGGCAATTAGACTAAAATTGCACAATTTTACAGTTTCACAGAGGTTCATGTGTTATGTGGCAGCCCTAAATCTCAATGGAATTGCTCATGTTAATTGGAACCAAATGCAATGCAGCCAAATTGATATTTTGAAATAAAAATTTCCATTTCAAATTTGACACACCCTAATTTTGATACCTGGAGCTTTGTTTCATTCACACGTTTGAGTAATCCTTTATTATGAGTCTGTCTACATCTCCAAAGCTCAAAATGCTCTGTTCCACCTTGTGATGTCATGAAGTGGTATTTTTCAAGTTAACAGTTCCTTTTACCTTCAGTTTATTACCTTTAGTAGTCTGAAATTAACCTGATTCATCAGCCGGTTTCACTTCTTGGAAACCGTCTGAGCATTTGGATTCGTTTGCTCAACAGTAGGTGGGTACTTTTATTTATTTAACCAGTCACTGCTATTTGGTCATGACATATGTAACGTGTCATGGGGCTAACTGCTATATTAAACTTTTACCAAATCCTGTAGGAAGAAGGGCAATAACGTCTTTCCCCTTGATAAAATTCACCAAACATTCTTTTTGTTCTGGCTTTAAATCCTCAATCTTGGGAATCACTGCCAACACAGAATGTATAGCTTCATCTACATCCATCTCAACCGATTTGTTTACTGTTGGAAAAAAGGACCCAGTCATGGCTTCACAGCTCTTTGCTGATTGGCTGGTGCGCGGTTTACAACTTCCAGAGTTCTTCCAAATCGTCCAGTGCATTCTGAGTCCTGACCTAGCAACCCTCACTGGAGAGAAATGAAATTGAAAGGAGGCACTAGGTGGCACCAGCCTGGCTAGTTTGAAATAATCCAAATATCTCTAATGAAGGTGTGTGGAGTTTAAAAACACAGTGGCGCAATTCCTGTATTACCTCATGACATCACAAGGTGGAACACAATGCTTTCCATTTGAGAGAACTCAACCTAAACATGCAGGATTTGTGTGCAAATGAAACAAAACACAACTCTGGGTCTGTTTATGATGAGGAAACAAGATTATAAAACATAGATCAGAAAACAATGTAACATGAACAATTTAACATTTTCTTTTTCATTTTTGTCTTAGTTTGCCCTTTATAGCATAATTTTCCTTGTCAAAACCTTCTCGGGTGTGAAAAATCAGAAAGATATCAGATTACGTGCAGATATAACTATGACATTTCAGTGATCAGATAAGACCAGAATTGAGATAATGATCAGATTTGTGACGTGAGTGTGAAAGGAAGTGTGTTCCAGTTAATGTCAGATTAGGTTAAATGAATCAAAGAATATTTTCGTTCGAGCATATGAGACAAATTATATTATACATCAACATTATACCTGTTTACTCTCACACGTTCACTAATTGTAGTTTTATTTAGAGCTTGAAAAAGACTGCAGTTTTGACCAGAGTGCACCAAGAACAATGTGCAGTTCACTCTCTGGCCTCTAGGTGGCTTTTTCTTCCAACAATTTGAAAATAACCAGACTGTAGATGTTTGTTGACATCTATTTTCCATATTTTGTTAGTGATAATGTGGGAACACAGCAGGTCGAGTTGACCTGCAAGGAGGCACATAAATAACTCAAGTGTTTTTTTGTATTTTTTAAATTGCATTTTTAAAAAATGTTTTGGTCTGCGATTATGTAAGAGCTTTGACCGATCAGTGAAGTTTAAGAGGCTCATGGTTCTGGACTGAATATCTGAATCGTGAAAAAACCCATATCCTGTCATAATAGGTTTTTAAAAGATGCACTGTTTAACTTTTGTTGTGGAGGGTTTGTCTCCACAGAGATGTTTTTGCTTTGGTTAGAATGTCCCGCAGTATGTCATTAAACTCATCTCTATCCATGATACAAGCAGGTGACTCCACGAGGCCATGTTACAGGTCAGATCTGTGGAGTGGCTGCCCTGATCACAGCAAGAATGCATGTTTTTAAGATATTTTGCAGTAAAAAAAAACACTAAATAAATGTAAAAAAACGATCAGTTTAATGCCATATTGTGAGACATTCCCCCACCACAAAAATGCACAGTGCACCAGACACAAATCAGCATTATTAACGTGCATTTTGGGCATTTATTTCTTTAAAAATACACTAATTCCAGTGCAATTGGACTACTGTGAAACCCTGTCAATAAAACAAAATCGCACATGCAAATGGTGTTTCTGTAGCGCGAATAAGATTTCAAAGTGCGGCTCGTTCGCCCACACACGAAGAGTCGAACCGGGATCGCGCGTGCGTCTCGTCCTATTGCTTTAATTAGGCGTGCGTGCTCGTGTGTGTGCGTGCGTATGCCTCAACGTGACCGCGCGCTCGCCTCAGTCTTGAATTTGTCCCGCGGATGCCTCCTCTTCGTTTGCAGAGCGAGAGGGGAACCACACGCAGGCGAACCGTGCCAAAAGTGTCCAGACAAAGCGACTCTCTCCGGATCTCCACTGCGCGCGGCTGAAAACGAAAAAAGCGACACTCCAACACGCGAAATCACGAAGCAAGAAGACGCGTTTCTCTCGTTTTGAGTTCCACGCCCCGGAGAAGTGTTTTGGGACGATACGTGGTTCGTTTTGAGATGGGCATTGGGTGCTTGAGCGTTGCAGACTCCTACTTCTCCACCACCACCACGCTTCGGCTTTGACAGAAATGCGCGGCTCGTTTTGTTTCCCTGTGTTGTAACGGGCATAGCATGGCAGGGGTACACGCTTCGGACGCCTTATCGCCAACGGGGCACGTTTCAGATCCTTTTGCTCAGGGTGCGACGGGTGCAGGGACTGCCACGGCGGCGATGGCAGCTGCGGAGACGGCCCCGGTCCCTCTCACCGGAGCCCGGGTTTATCTGGACGCTTCATCCGCTGCGCAAGGCTACGGAACCGGGCAAGGAGTGTTCACCAACGGCCGCTACCGGGAGGGGGGCAGCCGAGAGAGCTCCGCCGAGAGAGGCACCTCCGCCGCGGCTGCTGGGAACGTACCCTGCGGCATCATGAAGGTGGGTTTGATTGAGACGGTTCACCCCGATCTCAAGGTGACACGAGGGAAATGCTTTGAATCTAGGCTGCTGCAAACTCACTGCGCTGGAAAGTAGCAGTTTATGGGTGATTTAAAGGACCTAGATTACGCTAAAATGGATTATTGCGCGCTTTAAGTCATCTTATCACGCCGGTGCCTCCTCAAAAACATACCTGGAGTTGCGTTTTGTTTCATTCACACATGTTTGAGTGAGGTTTTATTATTGGTCTGTGCATCTGCAAAGCTCAAAATGCTCTGTTCCACCTTGTGATGTCATTTAGTGGTAGTTTTCAAGTTAACAGCTACCTTTTTTTTTTAACCTTTTAAAACATGCAATTCCTATTCCAATTCATCTGAAATTATCCATATGATTCTAGTGAAGGTGTATGGAGTTTTAAAACACAGTGGAGCACTTCCTGTATTACAGCATGACATCACAAAGTGGAACGGCACATTTTCAGTTTGAGAGAAGAGCCCAGCTTGAATATGTATGCAGAAATTGTGTGTTAAACATGCAAGAACGAAACAAAAACACAACTCCACATCTGTTTGTGATGAGAAAACAACATTATAACATAGATCAGAAAGTCGCGTAATATGGGCCCTTTAATAACACCATAGGCTTCCGTTTTTGCTTTGTGGTTTTGCCGTTTCTCTCTACATAAACTTGATCTGGATCTGCGTTTTCATGGTTTGTGTTTTGAATCGCCGCTGCTCGAAACTGGAGCTTTAATAAGTTATGGTGTAGAGCAAATTATAGGCTTTTGGGACTTGTTGACATCGGTTGAATTATAAAAGTGCATGCATTTTCCTGAAAGCATCATCGAGGAGCTGCTTCAGTGATCCGTTGACTTGCTGTCCATGTAATATTAACAACAGTATGACATAAGACTTGGCGAAACAGTGAATTAGGCCGATTTTATCACAATTTTGACTTCACGGAGCTACCAAATACCACGTCATTTAGCGAAGTGGTTCCAAAACTGGGGTCACGAGGCAAGACCAATTCCAAATATAGATAAAAATGTACTTGATACTGATTGTTTGTTTAGGATACAGAGAAACTGATGGCTGTTGACCTCTGCCGATATTTTTGGGCCGATTTTGGCAACTTTATCCATATTATTGAATTTGAATTTGGTACAGATTTATCCTTAATGCTTCTCTGGACGCACGTGTTCAAATAAAGCTTTATGCATACACTCTTTATGCATATATGGAGGCAGCTGATTGACCAAAGTTAACATTGTTATTGTTTTTGTTGTTGTTGTTGGAGATTTAAGACCAATAGGCAAGCCGATAAGATAAGTGTCCTATCTCTAATTTTGACTTTATACTTTCATTTTGACTTGATATTTCGTGCAGTGGTTCCCAATTGAAAGTCACGAGACAAGAACATTTCCAAATATAATTACAAAAACATAAAAACGACACTGTATATTATCCATTTTTAAACTGAAAACAGTCATTTGGGGAAATTACATCCAAGTACACAATAAACTATTCAATTTAACACGATTAAACCTGATTTTACATTATGTTTTTCTCATTTGAAATCATTACAAGTGACAATTGTATTTTGCTGTTAGAGTCCCAGAAGGCCTCAAAGTTTGTTCAAGTCCTGAGTTATTGTAGGTTAAATTTGGAATGCATAGGCTTATATTGATACTTTGCAATGACATCACGCTGGGGGTGTTCTACATGTACCTATATGGTTGAAATGTTCAGCACCATGGTGACACAGCGCACGCACTTGCAAACAGCGCCAAAAAAGTTTTTAGATTAACTGAAAACTCAAGAAAAAATACAAAATGGATTTATAGAATACATTTTCAGAAGCCTGGTTCATGGTTTGACTTTTAAGAAAAAAGTGTGAGTGACTAACTGAAAAACTGTTGACTAATGCTAGCTACTGTATCTCTGTGAGAGACTTGTTTAACAGCACAAATCCGAATAAGGTTGTAGATCCAACTAAACCATCTCTTTCTGGTCAGATAGGGTTAAAATAAAGCTCAGATTAAAGTCTAACAGGCCTCAGACAGAGCAGTGCCTACAGACAGCATCATACTCCCTGGGGAATGTGGATGACTTCAGCTGTAAAGTATGTATCCATTCATGGCGACTTGAACACAAACTCTGTTGTGTATAAAGAAGTCACTTGAAGTAAAGTTTGAAGGCCAGTGGTACAATAAGGAGTAAACTCAGTGTCAGTGCACCAGCCTCGCATCAAGTGTCATTGAACTTAAACAATTGTCGCTCTATGGGCCATTATGCAGTCATGTCCCTCATTGTTGCTTTACTTTTGGAGGTCAAACATCACTGTAAATAAGTATACATAGACTCCTACAGAGCCTATTATTGCTTTTTAACACTGAACACATAGAAGAATGCTAAAGTAAGACTATGATAACCTTGTACACCCACGATGATAAATGCACTCCACATTCTGAATTATTTTATGTGAAAGGTACAATATGTAACTGTCTGAAGGTGGCCTTTCTATGGAAACAGAAAGTTAAACCCTACAGAACATTCTTCATGGAGGTACATCTTATGCCAAACTGTGGAATATTATATACTTTTTCTGTTCCGATACTCATGTTGCTTTATCTGTATTGTTGCTCTTTCTGCCAATACCTGATATTATCAATATTATCAACCGATATTAGGACTTGACTGAAAACATTATTTATTTTCTTTTAACACAAATGGTGTATGGTTAAATATTACCAAAATATGTATATATGCAAGTCTATTCATACGAGGTGTTTTAGGCGAACACTGCCCAGTAAATCATCTTATTACACCAATTTATAGACCAACATGAGATCTGTCTTGGAACCAATGTCAGATCCATCAAAATCTGCCGATATCAGATACCAGTAGCATCCCAAATTTCCATAGAAACAAGCAGGAGGAGGCTCTTCATCACACTGAGAGTCAGGTTTGTGGAGAGGGAAGCCTGCTCACAGTAAAGACATCTTTTCAGTGCAATAAACACCACTAAATTGCTTTCATTTTAGTGTATTTTTTTGGCTAAAACATTACATACTCTAACTTTAAATTATACTATAACAGAAAATAATCCTTCACAAATTTGACAAAAAAGACATTTGCACAGTTGTCAGATGATCAGAGGGGCACTACAACTTTAGTGCATTATTTAAAACATGTGGTGAAGTGGCTTTGCTGTTACTGATCTGTTGATATGAAGTTATTACACAATAGTCAGGGCAAACCCCGCTGGAGGAGTACCTTTTTGTGCACATTTAGTTTAAGTTGAAAATGACTTCTTTCACTTTGCCCTTGACAGATGCCTGGGTGTCTGTGATCGAGGCTTGTGCTCAGACTGTAAAAGTTAATGAAGTGTGCACTTCTCATCTGGTGGCTGAATGTAAACCTGTGGCATTCCCCTATACTTCACAACAGCAGCTGACCCACAGGTTTCCCGCTCCCACAGATGAATGCTGGTGTGTCCTTGGGCAAGACATTTGACCCACCTCGCCCCCAGTGTCTGTTTACGTAGGTGTATGAATGTGTGTGTGAATAGGTGAGTGGTTCCTTGATGTAAAGTGCTTTGAGCCTTGAAGGTGAAAAAGCGCTGTATAAAAATGTGACTGTTTACCATCTATTCTGGTGTATTGGGTTCATAAGCTTCATACTGTGGGGGATTGGTTATTACTGCACAGGATAAAGTAAAGGCTACTTTGTTGTCTAAATGAAATGTATTTAGAGATCCTGCTTTTTCAGTTCCGATACCGATTCTGATACTATAGCTTTAAGGGTCTTCCGATACCGATATCAACCCTTACTAGTGCAGAGACTGAAAACAGCACTTGCTTCCTAAAATAAATAAGAAAAAAACTGATCCGTATATGTTATGTATCTTATATTTATCTCTCAAGGAACAAATGTATATAAAGCTCAAACACTAAGAGACTTTGTGGGGCAATTTTTTTTACTTTTTTACTTGTAGTTGTTAATTGGAACTGCTAAATGTTGTTGTTTTGCTGTATTTACTTTTTAACATTGCTTATTTATTATAGTTTTTATTTCTTTCTGTATCCCTGGGCCTCGGGGAGCACATTTAGTTCTGTCATGTGTTTCTCTCGCATGCTTGAATGACAAATAAAGAACCTTGAACCTTGAATTATGACCAATGTTTAGTCTCATTACATTAATTTAATTGTTTATTTGGAAGCCGATACCAGTATCGTATCGGAGCATTCCTAGTATTAATTCCACTGTATTTTACCTGGATTTATATCTGTTGTAACTACTGGAATAAGATTAGTCAGACTGAATTGGTCAACTTTGAACTATGTTACATTTTGCAGTATTTTAATAAACTTTTTGACACAGTAAGTTCAGTTATATTCAAAGCAATACAGTATATGGTGTATATAAGAGAACGAAAGCAGGACTAAATAAGGAAAAATAACTAAAATCTATTTTTTTGCATTTAATTTTCAAAAAACAGCAAATAAAAAAAGTTCTTTGTATAAAAATCTTTACAATATGGATTTTTACATTAACTTATATTGCCATAGATGTTTTTGATCTATGTTGAACAGCCCTTGTATTATAATATGAGCTCTCCTCCTCCTCCTCCTTCTCTTCCTCCTCCTCTTCCTCCTCTCCTGTGCTCTCTTCATGTCTGGCAGGTTGTGGGGTCGCTGGGGCAGATACGAGCACCGCGTGGGCATTACAGGCTGCCAGTGCGTTCAGACGGCTCCGACTCTCCCTGCTTAGCAACCGACATAAAATAACGCTTATTCTTTGTTCGTTAAAATAATTGGACTCATGTGATATGGACTCATTCACTCGAGTCACATTTTTATGCCATGTTGAGCGGTTGTCAGCTGGAAACAAAGCACATATACTTACCTACCTGTAGTCTAAATTTAGTACATTTAGTCCTTTTTAGACCTGTTGTAGTCCTGGTTTAGTTCTGATTTGATCCTTATTTTTTGGAGATTA